CATCCTCAACTCATTGATTCAACTCCTGCACCTAAGAGAAGTGGTCTAGTGTGCCACATCATACTGGTGTCTCAGCCTAGTCAGAGCAGAAGGTGGCTGAACCTGCCCTTCACCTGGACATCTGGCAGGCCTGCTCTCACACCATCACCCAGGACCCCCTTGGTGAGGCTCACAACCAGGACAGGGATTTACCTCCATGTCAGGTCACCAATCCTTTCATGATCTCACTTGCCAGAACTTTCCTCCCCTTGACCAAATTTTCACACACTTTTACATACTATTGCTGTGATGTGGCCAAACCTGAGCCTTATTCATTTAGCCACTCAAGTACCTTATCTGCCTCCAAATAAATAGTCAAAGCTGACCTAAGTTCAAAACCCTCACAGGCATCAAGGAGGTCTCTGGGCTGTCCCCAGTCAGTAGAAGACCTACACAGATCAGGGTCTGCATAGCCAGCTCTTAGTCTGGAGGAAACCACATCCAGTGGTTTCAAAGCACCACTTGGAAATAGAAACCACTGGGTAAATGGGGAAACCAAGGCATAGGAAAAGGAAAATGAAGGAAAATGACTTCATCTTTTAGGTCAGCTGCGATTGTCCAGCTGAAGCCAAGAAGGCTTTCCCAACCTGCTAAGCCATGCAGAGGAACATGCTGCACAGAGTCTAAGGGCCAGCGGCTGTGGCAAGTAACTGTGCTTGCCTCTTTGTCCAAGTGAGTTGTCTGTCTGCTTGTCCCAGCAGCGCTCTTTCCTCTTCCGAAAATAAAACTGCATTTTTCACCCATTACATCTCAAACCCATTTAACTGCTAGGCACGGCAGCACGATAAGAACAATAATTATAACTGGAGGGGGCTTCCTGTTATCCTGGCTATAGCCATATCCCGAGCAAATAAAAACCTAGGCTTTTGGTCCCAGCACTGACTTTGCTTAAGTTCTGGTTATTAATTCATAAACAGGAAGAGCCTCCGAGTTATCATCTCCCTGCACAAACCTTGGGGCAAAGACCTTTACTCTGCCTCAGTGGTGCCGCCTCCCCAGTGAGAAAGTTTAATGGTCTCTAATGAAATGTGAGGACGCATTCAAAACCCAGCAGGGCTGGCCTGTTCCTGGCGTTAAATGGAATCGCATTCGCGACGCGTCCGGGGTTGGATTTTCTGGCTTCCCAGCCCCTCGTGTGACAAGGACAGTATGCAGGCAGGTCCCTGCCTGCGCCAAGCTACAGCAGCAGCACCAGTGGCAAGGTGCAATTTACAAATATTACCCATTAATTCCATAAGCCACCCACATAGAAAACTACCAACGCGGCTGCTAAAAATACACTGTGAGTTGAAACAAAGTTGTCAGAAATAAGCAAGAAGCAAAGCAAAGAAGAACAAAACCAAAACAGAGGTAATCACTGTTTAGAAAATAAAGGTTAAGGCATAAAAACACCACTTTTTACCCAATTCTGAAGGATGCTAGGTACAAGGCACACAGGAAATCATTGGACACCTATCCAGGGCAGAAAACTACCCACAGCCCAGGCACTGGTGATGTCTAGCATTGAGCCCTCTTAAAATGGGGTCTCCCCTGGTCCATAGGGTTTGGCTCTGTTCTCTGCCCAGGAAGAAATGTCACATGACGAGCGCACCAATGGTGATCTTGCACAGCAAGGGCAACACTGCCCAGAGGAGAGTCCAAAGAAGCAGATTCTCACCTGCCTGAGATCATTTACCTCCTGTGAAGCTGCTACAGCTGTCCCTATTGAAGCCTTGCGGCTGGTGTTCAGCAGGACAGCAGCCATCAGTTTGCCCCAACTCTGGAGCAGAGGCCATGCAGGATCATACCTGACGAGGCCTCCTTTGAAGCACAACACACTTCCCCATACAGCTCACAATCAAGACTAAAATCCAGGTCAAACATTGCGTGGAGGTTTTACTTCTGGTTTATTTAACTTGGTAGGGTTTTACGTCCTTTATTCTACTGCTCAGCTCTGCAACACCCGGAAACAACTAAGAAAAACCCAGCAGAAAAGAAGATGACAGCAAAAACTGGATTCCTTAAACCAAATGGGAAAATTCCCCTTGCACAGTGTTTGGAGGGGAGGATCTCATACCAGGTTTTTATCAGGCCTCACCTATTAATATCAGGTGAGGCACAGCTCTGCTTCCCAGAACCAGTACTTAAGCCAGCTGCTCAGCACAGGCACACACCACCCTCACCTACATATCGAGAATGGTGGGTGACTCTGTGCATGCGCTCTATGTTATCACTCAAATTTTTACTGAAACCATTTCCTAAGGTCTCCAAGGTGTCACATTTCCTCCCGGGGCACCTCTTCTGTCAAAGAGCCTATGTTCTGAGATCGGTACGGTGGGATACTGTTTCACCTACCCTCGCCTGCCTTGGGGTGGTGGTGGTGGCCATGTGTGTGTGCCACCCGAGACCGCTCGGTTAAGAGCAGGAGCAGCAGAGAAGGGACTGCCGGTGGCCGCTGTACTGATCCAGCCCCTCGGCTCCTGCCCTCTCCCCAGTGGCCTGGCAGTACCTGATGCTCCAGAGCAGGCTTACACACCAGACAGGTCGTGGATGGCAGTCCTTGGCTCCTTCCAAGGAGGAAACCGCATCCCCTGCGATAAGTTTTTATCTATGCACTGCGATATTGCAGAGAATTCTAAGGACCTCTCACGGCAACTAGGAGGCGAAAAACATTCATTAACCCCTCCTCCACCTCCCTCGAAGCAATCCAGCAGCAATTTAACCCGCAAACATACTGCAACACAAAACAGATAAAACAATCCCTATCAGGCTTTGTGCTACCCACTGGCTCTTGCCATTTGGATTATTCACCTACTTTAAGGCTTGAGGCATGCTGCAGAGCCTGGCTGCGGACACTCCTGTATCGGCTGCCGGGAATTTGTTTTTACGGGTTGCTTTTCAGGGATTTTTTTTCCCCCCATCTGCTCTCTTTTTCCAGTCAGGCAGAAGCACGGGCGCCGCTGAAGTTCGGATGCTCTGAGGAACCGCTAAACTTCCACCGCACGCACGCTTCGGTGCGGCACCGCCGCCACCTCCCCGGGAGGAAGCCCGCGCCCTGCCCGCCCCGGCTGCGGCCGAGGCCTCCGCTCCTCTCGCTTCCCTTCCCTGCCCGGCTCCGGGGAGGCGGCCGTGCCGGCGGCGCGCCGGGAAGGGGAGCGCGGCCGGGCTGACCGCAGGCCCCGCGCCTCCCTCCGCCGCCGGCCGCTGAGGAGCCGCCGGGCGCCGCCGCGGGGCACCGCTCCGCCCCACAAAACCACCCCACCTCCCGCCCAGGGGATGCGGCCCGCCGAGGAGCGAACTTCAGAGCGATCGCCGCATTACCCACCCTGCCAGCGGCGTTCGCTCGGGAGGGGCTGGGCAGGCTCCGCGGCGGGCCGTGTGATGCCGGGCAGGCCTCACCGGCCCGCCGGTAGCCCCGTGCCGTATGGTGTGGGGGGGATAAACACAGGCCCGGCCCGGCGGGGAGCCGCGGCAGGGGCCGGGCAGGTACTCGCTGGGGCTGCGGGCCCCCGCCGAGGCCGGGGGAGAGCGGCGAGGCGGCTGCCTCCCCCTGCCCGCCGCGGGGCCCCTCAGCCGCCCGCTGCCGCTGGAGGCGCCGGGGGCGGCCCGGGCGCCTTGTGGGGGGGCTGCCCGGGCCCGGGGGCCGAGGCCGCTGGGCGGCGCGGCCGGCAGAGGGCGCCGTCGGCGGACCGGCTCCGACTGGCACCACGGGCCCGCCGCGGCCCCTCCGCCGGCACCGACACCGGTCCGCCGTCGCGCAGGGCCCCGCTGCCACCCCCGCGGCTCTCCCTAGGCCTCCGGCGCCGCCGCCGCCTCCGGGCCCCGGCAGCACTGTGCTCGGCAGCGGCGAGGGCGGAGAGGGACGGCCGTCCTCCCTCTGCTGCCGAAAACGCTCCTCTTTGTCTGCCTGCCTGCCTGCCTTTCGCGGGGTCCGAACTCTGCACCGGCGGCGAGCCCGGCACTGCCCAGAAATAACCCGGCGAGCCGGTAACTTTACACCGCCCGCCGGGCGCACTCCTCTCGGGCACTGCAGCCCGGGCTCGATTTTCTCCTCAGATAAGTTTTACCGACCTCGCCATAGAGACAGAAAAGTACCTTGTCCCGTCCGCCCCCCCCATCCCCCGCTCCCCACCGGGCGCCGGGGTCTCCGGTGCCGCGGACCGACCGACGGGTCCCTGGGCGGGATAAAGCGCCGGGTGGGTGGATGTCCCTCCGGTTTATGTAACGCTCCCCGGCCAGCGCCGAGCCGGGAGGAGTGACGGGGGAGGATAAATGCATCGCGAAGGGATTTAAATTAACCTTGATATCATTTCATGTATATAGATATAGATACACACATATATATTTTAACAGCCAAACTGAAATAAGCACCCATCTAACGTACATACACACCTTTTATTTTTTTTTTTTAACCTGAAAAAAACTAAGTTGGGGCACTTGGGCTCCTCGCCGCAGCCTGGGCTGGGCTGAAGAAGCCGAAGGGGCTGACAGGCGGCTGCCGGTAGCTCCGTTCCCCGCCACCGCTGCCCGTGGGCTCTCCGCACCCCGGAGGAGAGCCCCGGCGGAGCGAACTCCAAGGAAACCGGCTAAAGGAGCGAGGTGGCCGGTCCTGGAAATGCGAACTGCAGCGAGGGGCAGGCAGGCACACACGCGCGCACACACACATACACACACACGAGCAGGGCAAGCTCCGTCCACCTCATTGTTCTGCTCGGCACCGGCACGGACTTCACCCACCGCCCCCCGCCCGGGACCGTGCGGCTGGGGGGAAGCACGGGGAGAACCGGGGGCAGACCCGCGTCTCGCCCCGCTCCCCACCGGTGTCCGGGCAGGGCGGGGGTGCCCTGCCGCCAGCCTCCCTGCAACAGCGCCGGGGGGACGGTGGACCACGGGCGGACGGGGAGCCCCGGTCGTGTTCTCCCCCTTCCTTCCTCCCCGGCGGGGCGAGGGGTGCCGGCAGGGCGGGCCGTGCCGGGGCTTACCTTCGTACATGGGGGCCATCGGTGCAAGGACGCCTGTTATTCATGGCAACGCCACCACGAACGACGCGAGATCGCAGCCCCCCAAACTCAACACACATCTGCCATCTTGAGCGGGTGTCTCTCGGCGGAGGCGAAGCTGCCGCCTGCCTTCTGCATCGCTGCCCACCTCAGCGCGGGGGGAGCCGGGCACATCCAGCCCCGCTGCCGGCCCTCCGACGCGGCCGGGGCGGGCGAGCGGGCGGGGGGCGGCGGCGCCGGGCCGGGCCGGGGCCGGGGCGAGGCGCGGCGCGGGGCCGGGCAGGGGCGGCGGGCGGCGGGGCCCCCCCGGCTCGGGACGGCAGCGCTGGGAAGGGAGGGAGGGAGGGAGGGAGGGAAGGAAGGAGAGAGGGAGGAAGGGAGGGAGGAAAGAAGGAGGGAGGGAAGGAGGGAAGGAGGGGGGCTGGCGCGGTGCCCCCGCTCTCAGCGCGGCATGGCTGCGTGTGCCGGGGCGCCTGCAAAAGTTGCACTGGGGGTGAGAGAAGGGGAGAGAGAGACGGAGGCAAAGAGAGGGAGACGGAGACCGAGACAGAGAGGAGGAAAAAAAAAGGGGGGGAGAAAAAAAAAAAAAGGCGAAGGGAGTTTGCAAATAATCAAGCGCCGATGGCACTGATCGCGGCTTCCCAGAAGGAGAGGGAGCTAGCGAGAGAAACCCTCTGCTGAGATTATGTGGGATCTTGTTTAACAACACATTTCAATCAGGAGAAAAAAGGAACAGTCAACAGAAGTTGGTGAAACACTTCTGTTCCCCCCCCCCCTTCTCTTTATAGAAAAGAGGGGAAGGGAAAAAAAACCTAAAAAAAATAAAGAGGCAGCTGATTGAAGCTTTGCAATTCACTGGCTGTGGGGATCATATAATTTGAGCTCATGTTTTACAATAGCATGGAAAATTCCTACTTCTCCCCCTCTCCCCAAATAAATCTTCTATTCCCTCAAGGCATTTCACAATCTGGTTCACTGACAAAAGTTCCAATTTACCCTTTTTTTTCTTTTTTTTTTTTCATTTAGCTTGCTTGCAGTGTAAATATTTAGCGGATGCATTTAAAATAAACATACGTTGTTGCTTTTAGGATTCGGGTTGTGTTTTTGTTTTTTGTTTGTTGGGTTTTGCAGAAAAGGAGCCACATCAAAGAAGTGTTTACTTACTGAGATTGACAGCCACTACTTCCCACCACCACCACCCCTTTTTAGTTGAAAAGATCCATCTCTCTGGCTGAGCTCTTGCGGTAGGAACACCAACTCGACCAGCGCTGGTTTTGTCAGTGCAGACAGGAAAGCTGTAGGTGAAGCCACATTACCCGGAGCCCCCTTGGCCCGTCAGGGGCTTTGCAAAGAAAGGTCAGTCGCCAGGTACATATTACACAGGTGAGGAAGCTGAAAACTCATGCAAAGCCTCTGGCAAAGGTGGAAACGGAACCTCAGGCTGTGATCCTGCATTAACTCCCGTCTGCATCTGCCTGCCTGGAGCTCCTTACAGGTGAGGAGTGTGGGACCAGGCTGGTGAAGATACATCCTCTTCGTGCCTGCTGTAACTGCTGATCCGAAAAACGTTGCCTCTTGATGCTGCTGGCGCCCGGCCAGACCTCTCCCACCACAGGATCCGATCGCAGCAGGACTCAGCACCCAGCCGCTACTGTCGATGTCTCAATGAGGAGGAGGAGGCAAGAGGTAACTTTTATTTGGGATTTCAGTGAGAGCCGAGTGCTCCCACCAGCCTGGCCCCTGGTGTCGGGGTACCCAGAGGATGCCTACGCTGGCAGATGAAAGCAGGCCAGGGAGCAAGCCATGCTGACCAGCTGATTGAGCAGGATGGCCATGCCTGTGCTGCAGAGGACAAGCCCCCAGGCTCCTGTGGGCCCCCTTGTTCGCAAGGTACTTTCAGTGTTTTCGTGACTGTTTTTTCCCCACTGAAAAATGCCTGAAGTGACAGAAGGGCTGTCTCACCACCCATTAGCATTCTGTTTACTGCATGAAGCTGAGGAGACGCGTTAAATGTGTCGGGGAGTGGCATGCAGGGCAGGTGGAGGTGGTTGAGGGTGCAGTCAGCTGGGATGGCACTGGAGGACTGTGTACAGCAGAGGGAGCAAAACCTGCTGCCATCTCGTCTCTGCTTCATTTTGACAGTGATCTCAAGACCAGCCACCACTGAATCTTGGAAAGAAATGGAGCTGCCTCCAGCTGGACCTCTGGGGAAGTCTAGGCCAGAACTGGAGGGCAAGTGGCATGCATGGCAGCAGGCACAGTATTTGAGTTTGCTTCTTGCCCCTCTTTTATTTAGCCATGGGAACCCTCAGGGTTTGGCTCTCGAAGCTGATAACCTCACGTTTTTCTGAAACAAGTTCTGGTCATTGTAATTCTGCACTGCTCTCTTCTTTTATGATGGAGGACATTATCTGCTTTCCAAGGCTACTGATGCTTCTGAGCCCAGCCTGCTTCCTTGCCCTTGGTCAGAGTGGCAGCCGTGGAGCCCTGTCTCAGAGCCACAGAGGAGATGTGGAAAAGTATTGGGGAAGAGCAAAGGACAAAACCAGAAGAGAGGAGCAGGCTGCTAAAGGAACTGGATTAGCTTCTTGTCATTGTATTTTGCTGCAGCATGGCTCCAGGGTAGCCACATCACCTTTCAGCTCTGCCACGGGGCAGGGGTACCAGCCTCTGCTGCATGAGGCTGCACCAGGGGTTTCCTCTGTGTTTCACCCTGAGCTACCCTGTAGCCCTTGGGTCTGTGCTAACTCCACATCCATCAATGCTAGCATGATGCAGGATCTTGACACATAAAGTAAACTCAGTCCTCATCTCTTTTGCTGGAAGAAAAGAGGAAGGGGTTGGTGGAAGGGTCTTCAGGATTCTGTGCAGCCTGGGCATGGAAGTGGTGCCTCTTGGCCCCATGGCTGGCGGGTGGAGCACAGAGGGTGAGGTGGGAGCAGCCAAACCTGTGCATGACATACTTACGCAAATGCTAAAGCTGCCCAGCTTCAAAGCACAGGTTATTCTGCCTCTTTTAGGGGCAAGGTGCTGAACTTGATGGACTACTTGGCTGGCCCAAGACAACAATTCCTGATTGCCTTTCAGGTTCAGTAACACCAAGGACACTGCAGATTCTCATCTGCTGGTAATGTGTGCAAAGAGAGGAAAATTAATGAGGATCATTCTGATCTTACATATTTTTTAATGTTGCTGCCAAAGAGATCACAGCACATTTGGTAAACAAAAACCAGCTCCAACAGGTCCTGACCTTGGCCCACGATGGCTGCTAAAACCTCGTGTAGTGAGGAAGCTGGTGGTGTGTGGGCCTGCAGAAGCAGCAGGGGTTTGCCCTGCCAGGCACAGCCTTCCTCCTCACACAGGGGCCTCGCTATCAGATTTTCCTTCAAAGTGGACTTGGGACACCTAATTGGAGCTGGGAGGTACAACCCGTTGCTGCACTTTTCTACCACTGTGCACAGATGGGGTGCACTCTGGAGGTGGCCCAGCTTTGAGCCTACAATCTCCTTTCCATTATCCCCCAAACTGAGCATCCATGCAAGGATGCTGCATCCCTGGTTATCTAGTCCCCTGGGCCAAGGCCAAAGCTGCTGTGTGAATGTGCCCATCACTGCCAAGCATCTGCAGCAAGGCAACAGCAGCCCCAGGGCAAGGCTGTTCTGTGGGAGAGATTGCGGTCCACTATTTGTATGCCTGAGACAGCAGGACATGTCGCTAAAACTGTGAATCCAGAGAGACTTTCCCACCCCAACAGACTACTTCTCTTTTGCCCCTTCACTCAGGAGAGGATGGCAAGACAGCACTGAAGAAGGAGACATTAATGTCTCATCTGATTCTACATTTCTCCATTTGCCTATTTGGGTCTACCATAAACATGCCCCTTGTCTGGGTGCAAGTACATGGCCTGCTCAGCCTTGTTGCAGAGCATCATGTGCCACTGAGGCAGCAGCATCCTCAGCTAAATCCACCGTGGCTTATGGACAGTGGTGCAAGACATTAAGCCAGGAAAAGGAGGGGTGGCTTTTTTAGGGGGGAGGTTCTCAAGGGGCTTGTTTCCATTTCTGACCCTCACATGCAAATCTTGGTGCTCCTGGGGATGTCACTTACTTCTCCAGAAAGGCACACAGTGTCTGGCATGTCTCAGGGGGCCTGTAGTAGCAACTCAACTGCAGTGGCAGTAGCAGGAGTAACTGTTTCTTGCTGGAAATGGTGAGAGATTGGGGTTATCTATCTTTCTTTTCTCTTGGAAATTAATACAGATTTTCAAGGTCAAGGTACCAGAAGGAGGGCAGGTGAGTTTTAAAACATAGTTGTTGAGGGTTGTGCAGTTTTAGGGGGGTTGCATGAATGGACATGAGGTGCCCTTTGCTCTCTCAGAGCCACAGATGCCATGGAGGCATCACCTCCTCTGCTGTCTGCTCTGGGCCCTGGTTGTGCCAAGAGCACACCTGTAGCAATGCCAGAAGTACCTGTTCCTGAGGTGCAATTTCTTCCTCTTTATCCCAAAGCGTACTGAGGAGGTTTGTGGCTCTTGGCTTTCTCGGTTCATTGTCCATCCACTGCAGTTTCTTCTTCAGAAAGATCAAGCCTAAAAAAACTGCATTACATTAAACAAAATAATAATCCAACCCCCAAAACCAAACAACAAAACAAAAAGACAGGAGAGAAAAGCTGTAAGCACACAAGGTGAGCGTGTCCCCTTCAGTGACAACCTTTGATACCTGTTTGCCTTCATGGAGGAGCTGGAAGGCAGGATGTTGTTAACAAGAGTCAGGCTCCTAATCTTTCACGTTAAGCAAAGCAAAATAGTTTTGTAAACACCAGGGGAAGGTTTCCCAGTGAAATACACACAGATGTTTTCTTTTTAAATGTAAATCAGTGCAGGAATGGACAGTTTAATTAAAAGCAAAATTATTAGGTAAATGCTGAGGGAATCTATTTGCTGGGCACACTCACATATTTTTACTGGTGAGTCAATTGCAGTTTTTAATTTCTTCCCTTCTAATACGATCAGCTCAGAGGCTAGCCACTGTGATGCAGAATACTTGGGAGAGGATTTTTCCATGGATAGCAGGAATGTCTGCTCTGTGTGCAAGTTGTGGGTGCCCAAGCAGCCAGCCATGGTATGTCCATTCCCAGCTTTCCATCTCTGCTAATCATTAGCAAACACTCACTATAGGCTGCCTCTGTGCCATCACCTGGAGAAAATCCTGGCACCTGTGACTTTGATTTTGGGTT